CTTCTGATGACAGCTTGGATATGATTTGTAGTATCGACCGGTTAACGCGCTCTACGTCCTCGACTATAGCAAAAATGTATTTATATTGCTTCGCTGTGGCGTCCATAGGTCCGAGATGGTCAACATGCAATGTGTGCAATGGCTCTCCTCCTTTCTCGTCGGGATGATGAAAGCCTTCCTTTTTACCCAACTGTTTGTTGTGGACAATACATTTAATACAATTGGCGATAACATGAGCAACTTTTCCTTCCAAATGTGGTATCCAATAGCTTTGCTTGATCAAGTGCGTTGTCTTTTGAACAGCCCAGTGTCCAACATTGTGGGCGTCGACAATTATTTCTCGCTCCATCGACTTCGGTATAACCAGCAGATCAGTTCCTTCTATCGACTTAAGCAGCAATCCTCCTTTGATTTTAAAATTGTCATAGGGGCGGCTGCTTAAAATCTCAAAAATAGCTTTGATCATACAATCTTTTTGTTGAGCTGCTTTTATACGGGCTGAGACTTCTGACGTGACCACCATTACTTGCTGTGGGTAGCGACTCAGGCAATCGACGTGTCTAAGACGATCTCCACTCCTGTACTCCACTTTATACTCGAAGTCCTCCAAGTTTTCAGGCGGGTTGTTTTCTTTCATTGCATCAATATCAAACGGATTTTCATCACCCTGATCCTCAATTTCATCGTGTCCCTCATCTACATTATTCATAGCGACAAGGTCCATTTCCTCTGGCTCTGGTGGCTCCTCAAGCTCATTGTGAAAGACATTCGTTTGCTCTTCGTCCACTTCGGGACTCCTAATATCATCAATGTCCTTAGCTTGCTCCTTACGTTTATCCTCGGAGTTTGGCTCGTTGGTGGCGTCTAGCCCATCTTTTTCATGCTCATCCTTTCCATCTTCATTGGCCGCATAATTTTGTGTGTCCAAATCGTAATGAGCATCCTTTTCGTCTTTAGTGCCCTTGCCTTGATCCTCATCATTCATTTCGTCCTGCTCATTTTTTTCTTCTTCTTCATTGTCACTTATCTGAATATTCTCCTGAGTCTCCTCCCCAGCAGGGGGAGAAAACTTAAGTCCAGCCGCCGTCACCGTGACATTAAACGTTGATAGAAAGTCGTACCCAAGCAGGGCGTCGCATCCAATGTCACTATCAACCACTACCAAGAACTTGTGTAACACCTTCATATTGTCGATCTCCACGTCTGCTAGAAATTGACCCACCGGGCGTATCCTGTTAGTGCCAAAACCTCGAAGTGTAGCCACGTTGCTTTGCAATTTGGCGCCGCCGATTTTGTTAAATGCTGCCTTTCTCATTATTGAGACGTCTGCTCCGGTGTCGACAAGTGCATTGTCCACTGCATCATTAATTTTTATCTCCCTGAGACGCTTTGCCTCATATACAACATTTACGCCGGCCGAAGATGTGCGCTCTGTTGACATATGCCCAGTTTTATTGCAACGAAAGCACTTGATTTCAGCTTTGCAGTCCTTGCGCAAATGATCCACTGCACCACAATTAAAACAATGCTGCTTCCTTTCGCTTCTTACATTTGCATTTTTGTTGTTGTATTTGTTTGGTACAAACTGTTTTCTCTCTGCGTACACTTTCTCGTTTGTTTCCGCTACACTTTCGTAAACTTCATATTTCTCTCGCAATTCTTTGATCGATGTGCAGCTATACAAATTGTATTTAAAATCAGTTTTAAGATTTAGCCCATCCACAACATATCTAATTAACGATTCAGTATCCATCACTCCACGGGCTTCAATGCTCTTCATTTGCAACAAATACTTAAAAACTATACATGGTGCTCCAACATTCCGACCCCGTTGAAAGACTAGCGGTCTTTCAAGTCCATTGGGAGCACCGCCAACTTGTGGACTGGTCGCCTAATAGTGCCGGTCCTGGTTAGTACGTCGGCCACCCGCACCTTGCCGTCCTCGCCGGAAATCACGCCCACCACGCGCCCTAAGAGCCACTTCTGTGGGGGGGCGTTGTCGTCGTGGACGAGCACCACTGCTCCGTCGTCCAGGTTGGCCTCGCCTTTGGCCCACTGCGTCCGCTGTTGCAGGCTGAGCAGGTAGTCCTTGGACCACCTGCGCCAAAACTGCAGTTTGAGCTCCGACAGCTGCCGCCACCGCTTCAAAAATCCGGACCCGGCTCTGCTCAAAGACCCTTCTTGCACGCCTTCGTGCGGCAGAGTAAGAAGCGGTTGTCCGATGAGCAGGTGGCCCGGAGTGAGCACCTCTCCATCGTTGGGATCGCTGCCGCTTGCCACCATAGGCCTGGAGTTGAGAATGGCCTCTACGTCCACCAGGTGCGCTTCCAGGTCGTCTCTGGTCAGGTTCGCGTTGCCTGCGCCCCTGACTAGATGGGCCTTCGCCGCCTTCACCGCTGCCTCCCACAGTCCTCCGAAGTGGGGAGCCCTGGGAGGAATGAACCGCCAATCGATCCCTCGCTCTGCCGCTAAGTCCATCAAGGCGGCATTGCTCCTCTCGAACGCCGACGTCAGCTCCTTCAGCACGCCGCTCGCTACTACAAAGTTGGTCGCGTTGTCGCTGTAAACTGTCTCCGGCAGGCCGCGTCTCCCGATGAACCTTTTGAAAACATTAAGAAAGGCGTCAGTCGATAGGTCTGTAACCAGCTCGAGGTGAACGGCCTTCGAGGCAAAACAAACAAACACGGCGACGTAATTTTTAGCGGGCGGTCTTCCTCGTATGCGGTAGCTTACATGGAAAGGACCGCAAAAATCGACCCCACAAACCCTAAACGGTCGACCTTCTCGAAGGCGATCACCTGGCAAATTTCCCATTATTTGCCCTAACAACTTGGGCTTGTATCGGAAGCAGTGTACACAATTACGTACAACTGCTGAGCAAGCACTACGAGCATTCACCACCCAGACCTGTTGCCTAAGAAGCCCAATTAATACCTTTGCACCTGCATGATAGTGCTTGAGGTGTAAATGCCGAATATACAATGCTACTATTGGTGCATCCTTAGGCAGTAATAGTGGAAATTTTGCGTCATAAGGAATTGGACCATGCAACAAACGTCCACCTACTCGAACCAAACGCAACTTAATCCCAGTGTCTTCGAACTCGTGTATAAAGGGATTAAGAGATTGCAAACTTGGGGGGAGTGGCGCCGACTTTTGTAGAGGCTTGATCTCACGGCTGTATATATGCAGCACTTCAATCAGCTTAAAAAACGATAATCTTCGTTCTAAAGCTGACACAACTAAAGAATCACTGCGATTTTTCCTGTAGCAAAATCGCAAAACATATGCCAATATCCGAATTAATTTAGGAAAGGATGACAGTTTCAACATAAGGTCCAGTATGCAATTTGACTCTACGTCTGATCGAATGACTGTAAGTGCAGTCGCATTCTTTTTATCTTCAGATGCCTTAATGTCTGACGATAATTCAACATGGTGAAGATTGGGCCAATCATTTTCACCGAGCTTTAGAAAATTAGGGCCCTTAAACCACAATGACGATACAATTTCGTCTATATCAGTTCCACGAGAAACTAGGTCAGCAGGGTTGCAGTCTGTAGGCACATGACGCCAAACAGTATTCTCAGAAGCGTCTTGGATCTCAGCCACTCTATTTGCCACGAATGTGGACAACGTGGATGAGTCTCTCTCCAACCAATACAACACTATCTGAGAATCTGACCAGAAGTTTACACTTTCTATAGCAAACTTACTCAGCGTGGCGCAAACATGCTGCCAGAGTTTCGCTAGTAAGAGTGCCGCACACAACTCGAGTCGAGGAATCGTCTTTACGTTGAGTGGTGCCACTCTGGATTTGGCTGTAAGCAACGAAACACCTACGCTATCCTTGTTGCAAGTCCTAATGTATATGCAACAACCGTATGCCTGACTTGAGGCGTCTGCGAAACCATGAATTTGCACTGTCTCATAAACGTTTAAGCAAACGTATCGCGGAATATGAATTTTGTGTAGATCACGCAGAGTCTCAATGAACTTATTCCACGAAGTATGCATACTCGTTGGAATAGTTTCATCCCAATCTAGTTTTAACCGCTACAACTCTTGCAACAGAATTTTCGATTTTGTGACGATGGGGCACAACAGCCCAAGTGGGTCAAACAGACGAGACGCTACCGACAAGATGTTTCGTTTTGTTGGCTTTAACGAAATAAAGCTATCCACATCTAGATGGTACCGAAATACATCATCTTGAGGGGCCCAGCGCATTCCGTTTTGACTGAGGTGGAGTCGTCAAACTTAATTGCCTTTTCGATGATGTTGCCATCATCACCGAACAAGGCCTGACAGTTTGATGCCCACTTTGCCAAAGGGAACCCTCCGGAATCTAGTACCTCTCGTACTTGATTACAGATTTCTTTGAGCTCATCTAAAGAATTTGCTCCTGCCAACATGTCGTCAACATAAAAACAATTTTTAATGACATTTGAAGGTACAGGGTGAGATCGAGCATAAATATTTGCCAATTCAAACAACGAGCGCACAGCTAAAAATGGCGCTGATGCAGTCGCGTATGTGACAGTGTTCAACTTAAAGCACTGCAGCTCATGAGAGGCGCTTTCTCGCCGTATTTATTCAACCGAAAATTTACAAGTGTTGAATAAAGCTCCCTATGAATAGTCGGCCCAACCATTAAAGTGTCATTTAATGATAGGGCCGTTGACGTTTTACTAGAAGCGTCAAACACCACACGCAATTTGGTTGTGGTGCTTTCAGGTCTCAGGACACACTGATGAGGAATATAGTAGTGCTGTCCTGGAGGAGGGGATTCAAGAGCAGACATATGCCCAAGATCACGATACTCTCTCATGAAGTCATGGTACATGTCATGGAGAGTTTTGTCTCTTGCGAGTTTGCGCCCAAGTTGCAGAAATCGTCTTTCAGCTGTTTGAAAGGAAAGCCCTAGTACAGTGGGATCGGATTTGAACGGAAGTTCGACTTGAAAACGTCCTGTAGACAGGTGCTATACTGATTTGGTGAAGTGAGCTTCACAGGCCTTTTGTTCAGCTGTCTGGCGCACAGCCTTCGACTCATTTGGGCTCCGATCGAGTTCCCAAAAGCGTTGAACTAATGTGTCGAGAGAACAATCACTAACTTGAGCGGCAACATTAGCACTAAGTTGTTGACGAGGTATTTGTCCTGTGTACCTACCAGCGACAACCCATCCCAGCAAGGTCTTCTGCAACAATGGAAGACCAGAATTGAGCTCGATTTGCCCAACACACAACAAGCCGTAAAAGAATTCAGCGCCTAGAAGAATGTCAACCTTGGCTGGTTTGTAAAACTCTGTAAAACTCTAAAACTCTCTACTAGAGATTTTCGGGTATTTTCCAGCTCGTTGTGGGCAAAAAGTTACAAGGTTGACAAGTGGATATGGATGTAAGAACCCAAAAATCAGTGGCAAAGTTGTGTGCATTCAAACGAGATTGAATAGCAGCACACACCTTGTGCTTACTATCAGTTGTGGTCCCACCTGCCATTGTAATACTCACTGCCGTGTCTTCACGCTTTAGTCGCAAGCGCTGCGCAAGGTTCTCAGTCATGAGATTCAGCTGTGAGCCGCCGTCAAGCAACATACGTGCAGGATGGTATTGGCCGAATCTATCTCTAATATTCACCAATGCTGTGGCAAGAATAACTTGGTCGGCACTTAAAACGAGACCTAAATATGCTTTTGGAGGTGCGACCGCTTGTAGAACGGGTGAATTTGGCACAGCTACAGAGTATCTGTGCAACAACGAGTGGTGTGGTTTTGAACACACCCGACACTTGGAAGCTTTGCAACTGGAAACTACATGACCCACATTCAAGCAATTGAGGCACATTTTTTGAGTCTTGGCGAACTCAAATCGCTGCATAACGGGAATAGATCCGAAAGAAGGGCAAGTATAAATATTGTGTTCCGCAGAACTACAGTATGAGCACTTCGAGATCGGTTTTGAAGGCTTTGAAGGACCCTTTGTGCAAGAAAACGAAGCTTTACTGTTTCTTGCAGGTTCGGCTCGCGGTTTATTTTTAACCCGAGTTGTCTCTTCAGCCGCTAAATATTGGTAACGTCTATTTAACTGCTTAGCGCAGTCATCCCAAGAAGGCAGCTTGTCATAGTCGAGCTGTTCCTCAAAACGAGATTTGGTTACATGATCAACTTTGGCCATAACCATATGTATGATCATTGCATTCGAAATGTCCCTTTCACTTCCCAACGAAGTTAAAGACGCATAAATGGCAGAAACAGTGTCAATGATGGACCGCAAACTAGACGCATTAGGTTTGGTCATGCTTGGGATGTCAAACAATTGCGAGATAGTGTCGAAAAATATCAAACATTTGTTGTCGTACACAGACTTGAGGCTAGCAATGGATTTCGAGTAATTGCAGTCCGTTAACTGAAACGGTTTCACAACTTCTAGAGCCTCACCTGACAAGCACGACACCAAATGATTAAACTTCTCGACGTTGGTCAACGAAGGATCGTCATGAACTAGACTTTCAAATAAGCACATAAAATTCTTAAATTCGGCATGCTTTCCACTGAATGTAGGCAGCCGCATTTTGGGTAACTGTGACCGTTGACTGGCCATCATAGAACAGTCATGAGAAGTCTGACTTTCAACCTTCTGTTTCGTTGCCTTTACATACAACGCCTTAGTTGAAATGCACAAATCCTCAAGTGGCCCTCTACTATCGTTACTTGGATTGAGACTATCCAAATCTGCCTGAAGCGCCATAGCTTTCTTTATGTAACCTTCCAACAGCTCGAGACGGCACTCGAGTTCTGTTTGTTCAAACGAAATTGTCTTTAACTGAAATGCCGTTTTCATACGAGCAATATCAGCGCTAACCTTATCAAATTTCTGCAAGCATTGTACTAGTAGAACTAGATACTACTTGTTGCTTCTCAGATTCCGACATGGTAGAGTATAACCAAAATAAACTCTAAACAAGTTGCAAATCAACGAAACTGAAAACCGAACTTTCCTAACAGCCCTCGCAAATAACAACGCGCTAAAACAGCAAGAGACCAACTGAAATGCACACAGATTACACAAATAGGCGTCGATTACCGCAAGCACGCTTGTAGGCAACGCTAATCCAAACGGGTAGCGGGGGGAAGTTCGTTGGCCCAGCGACAAGTGTAGCCGAAAAAAGGCGCGCACAAAAGAGAGAGCGACAAAATTCTTTTGCTACGCTAGCGGCGCAAGCAACAACAAAGCTATGTTTGTATGTATGCAGCTGATGCAACAAATCTTTACCAAAAAACCAACACAATAGAAACAAAATAACTTTAAAATATTTGTTTTTTATGTTAAAAATCAGCTTAGTAGCCCTTTTTTAATTGTTGTGGTTTGTTTTGCCTCGAGGTTTTGTTAGTAGTTATGTTTATGAGGGTGTATAATTATGTTAATTTATGCAAGGTGTGGTGTATGCGTGTATATGTATGTATATAATATAATCATGCAGTGGTTATTGGCGAATATGTATGTATGATTATGTATTTGTGTATGTAATGTTGTTGCACAAAATAAATCAAGTGCCAAAAATTGAGTCGGCATAAGCACACACGTACTATATGTACATACGTATGTATGTATGTAAATAGATTTTTATCCACTTTACACTTGCACGAATTTGCAGCAATTAAACTTATTAATGCTTTATGCTCAATTGTTGGCACAGAATACCTGCAAGCTCTCAAAAGAGTCCACCGAAACTTCCCTGGATTCCGAGCGACGATCACCCATTAGCCAAGCCAAACGACAGTACCACAAGTAGGGCAGACAGCAGCTCCACAGTCCAAACGAGCAGTTGTAGTTGATGATATCCAGAAGGGCCAAGGCACCAAGCTCCAAATCCAAATAAATGTAGCAGGATGGTATCCAATCGACACCAGCCTCAAACAAACGAGTAGTTTTCACACGACCGCGCACAAAAACCAAGCCACAAAGCCCGCAAACAAACGAGAAAATAATATTAAGAAAACCGATGTCCCTGCTCGGGCGCCAATGAAAAATCGCTAGCTTTTTAGCGATTGCAACAAACAATATTTAACTATTTATTAAATGAGACGCGGTATTCTTTCGATTATTAATATGGCTTTTAATGGCTTGGAAAATTGTACAAACGATGTTAAACGTGTGAGTATTACTTAGCAAGTGATTTGCCTGCTGCCGCTACAAGTCAGCGGGCCGGCATAAGAAAAGTAATGCACAAAGACAGCGCAGTAAAGGGCGCGATAGAGAACGCAACAGAGATACTTAAAAACTATACATGGTGCTCCAACATCCGGAATAATTTTAGAAAAATTTTCCACCACCAATTTGCCTTCTTCTTTGCTGCTGTTTTCCGTTTGGCATTTCAGGGTCAATAGTTGCACTAGTTGTTGCATGGTAACGCTGTTCTCGGCTGTTGTGGTTCTATTCGTTTCTTTTTGCATTTTTTCTTGTTTTTCTCTGTTGCCCTCGGACCTTTCTGGCAACATCGCCTCAAATGATATTGTCAGTGCGTGCTCACTTGTAACGGTTTCTTTGTCCTCTTTGTTATTCATTTTCGTGAGCGTCGACCGCGTTGAAACCGACGGCTTCTTTGTCCTTGAGACTACTGGCGCCTTTCCTTTTAGAATAAACTGACTCACTCGCACTGGCTTCGGCTTTGCAACTGTGGGTACTGGCGTCGGCTTTGGTTTGTAGGCTGATCTCGTTTTTCTGGCACGCATGCAACTTTAATTGAATTTAATGTACATATGAGTATGCATGCCACTTTTCACGCACTTTTTGTCACTTATTTTACAGCCTTTTTTTTCCACAACTTTCAAAATTTTTAGGTTGAGCCCCCAAATGTGATCTTGTGTATCATAGAATGTTTATTATTGATGACGATACCAAGATATATGATATAGTTTAAAATAGGAATATAATGTAAAATGATGATGGCGAATATTAGCATATGCAGCTAATGCACTCTGGTTCGACGGCTGACTTCTCTGACGACTTCTCTCTGCTTCTTCTTCTGACTGCTGACTTCTGCTTCTTTCTTTACGGCTGACGACTGTGTTTGTAGTGCGGCTGACTACTTACTACTGACAACTAAGTACATTTCTACTGATTGCTTAAAACCAAAATGAGTACCGAGTACTGATGGCGATGCTGCTTCTAGGTGTTCCGCCATTCTCACTATCCTGCTTTCCCATCTTACATTCGGCCATCCTGTACTAGTCATCGGCCTCCGATGACCACGAGTCTTCGTTATCTGCGATATAGCGCCAAAGCCGCATATTATCGCAACTTGTTGTCGTGCTGTTCAGCCCTTCGACGTCTGCAGCCTTGCGCACTTCATATCGCCCGTTACGTTTAATTTTTGTAATTTCATATGGTCCCAGATAGCTGCTGGCTAGCTTTCTCCCAGCTACGAATTGTGTTCGGTGGATTGCGACTAGGTCACCCAATTTACAACCATATTCGTTCTTCCGCTTTTTATCGAACTGCTTTTTGTATCTTTCCTGTGCTCTCTGTATGTCCTCCTTCGCTGCTTGTCTTATTTTCTGCCTTTCTTCATCAAAGTTGTCGCATATCTCCTTTTCCAGCAGTTGCAAAACCTCATTTTCGGCCGTAGTTCTCATCTTTACGCCAAACATGAGTTCGAATGGCGACTTCTTCGTTGATACATGAATGGTGCTGTTTATGACCTTCTGTACTCTAGCCACAAACTTAAACCATTTTTCAGGACTCTCTGATGACAGCTTGGATATGATTTGTAGTATCGACCGGTTAACGCGCTCTACTTGGTCGTTTCCTCTGGGCACTCCGGTGGTGCTCCAAACATGCTCGATACCATTTTTGCTCATGTAGTCCTCGAAAGCTGAAGATGTAAACGTAGACCCTTGGTCACTGATGATACGACTGGGATTACCGAAGATTTCCGACCAGCTGTCGAGCTTGTTAAGAACTTCTTCGCAGCTTGTTGTCTTTGTCGGATACAGCCACACGAACTTAGTAAATGCGTCGACTATAGCAAAAATGTATTTATATTGCTTCGCTGTGGCGTCCATAGGTCCGAGATGGTCAACATGCAATGTGTGCAATGGCTCTCCTCCTTTCTCGTCGGGATGATGAAAGCCTTCCTTTTTACCCAACTGTTTGTTGTGGACAATACATTTAATACAATTGGCGATAACATGAGCAACTTTTCCTTCCAAATGTGGTATCCAATAGCTTTGCTTGATCAAGTGCGTTGTCTTTTGAACAGCCCAGTGTCCAACATTGTGGGCGTCGACAATTATTTCTCGCTCCATCGACTTCGGTATAACCAGCAGATCAGTTCCTTCTATCGACTTAAGCAGCAATCCTCCTTTGATTTTAAAATTGTCATAGGGGCGGCTGCTTAAAATCTCAAAAATAGCTTTGATCATACAATCTTTTTGTTGAGCTGCTTTTATACGGGCTGAGACTTCTGACGTGACCACCATTACTTGCTGTGGGTAGCGACTCAGGCAATCGACGTGTCTAAGACGATCTCCACTCCTGTACTCCACTTTATACTCGAAGTCCTCCAAGTTTTCAGGCGGGTTGTTTTCTTTCATTGCATCAATATCAAACGGATTTTCATCACCCTGATCCTCAATGTCATCGTGTCCCTCATCTACATTATTCATAGCGACAAGGTCCATTTCCTCTGGCTCTGGTGGCTCCTCAAGCTCATTGTGAAAGACATTCGTTTGCTCTTCGTCCACTTCGGGACTCCTAATATCATCAATGTCCTTAGCTTGCTCCTTACGTTTATCCTCGGAGTTTGGCTCGTTGGTGGCGTCTAGCCCATCTTTTTCATGCTCATCCTTTCCATCTTCATTGGCCGCATAATTTTGTGTGTCCAAATCGTAATGAGCATCCTTTTCGTCTTTAGTGCCCTTGCCTTGATCCTCATCATTCATTTCGTCCTGCTCATTTTTTTCTTCTTCTTCATTGTCACTTATCTGAATATTCTCCTGAGTCTCCTCCCCAGCAGGGGGAGAAAACTTAAGTCCAGCCGCCGTCACCGTGACATTAAACGTTGATAGAAAGTCGTATCCAAGCAGGGCGTCGCATCCAATGTCACCATCAACCACTATCAAGAACTTGTGTAACACCTTCATATTGTCGATCTCCACGTCTGCTAGAAATTGACCCACCGGGCGTATCCTGTTAGTGCCAAAACCTCGAAGTGTAGCCACGTTGCTTTGCAATTTGGCGCCGCCGATTTTGTTAAGTGCTGCCTTTCTCATTATTGAGACGTCTGCTCCGGTGTCGACAAGTGCATTGTCCACTGCATCATTAATTTTTATCTCCCTGAGACGCTTTGCCTCATATACAACATTTACGCCGGCCGAAGATGTGCGCTCTGTTGACATATGCCCAGTTTTATTGCAACGAAAGCACTTGATTTAAGCTTTGCAGTCCTTGCGCAAATGATCCACTGCACCACAATTAAAACAATGCTGCTTCCTTTCGCTTCTTACATTTGCATTTTTGTTGTTGTATTTGTTTGGTACAAACTGTTTTCTCTCTGCGTACACTTTCTCGTTTGTTTCCGCTACACTTTCGTAAACTTCATATTTCTCTCGCAATTCTTTGATCGATGTGCAGCTATACAAATTGTATTTAAAATCAGTTTTAAGATTTAGCCCATCCACAACATATCTAATTAACGATTCAGTATCCATCACTCCACGGGCTTCAATGCTCTTCATTTGCAACAAATACTTAAAAACTATACATGGTGCTCCAACATTCCGACCCCGTTGAAAGACTAGCGGTCTTTCAAGTCCATTGGGAGCACCGCCAACTTGTGGACTGGTCGCCTAATAGTGCCGGTCCTAGTTAGTACGTCGGCCACCCGCACCTTGCCGTCCTCGCCGGAAATCACGCCCACCACGCGCCCTAAGAGCCACTTCTGTGGGGGGCGTTGTCGTCGTGGACGAGCACCACTGCTCCGTCGTCCAGGTTGGCCTCGCCTTTGGCCCACTGCGTCCGTTGCTGCAGGCTGAGCAGGTAGTCCTTGGACCACCTGCGCCAAAACTGCAGTTTGAGCTTCGACAGCTGCCGCCACCGCTTCAAAAATCCGGACCCGGCTCTGCTCAAAGACCCTTCTTGCACGCCTTCGTGCGGCAGAGTAAGAAGCGGTTGTCCGATGAGCAGGTGGCCCGGTGCCGCTTGCCACCATAGGCCTGGAGTTGAGAATGGCCTCCACGTCCACCAGGTGCGTTTCCAGGTCGTCTCTGGTCAGGTTCGCGTTGCCTGCGCCCCTGACTAGATGGGCCTTCGCCGCCTTCACCGCTGCCTCCCACAGTCCTCCGAAGTGGGGAGCCCTGGGAGGAATGAACCGCCAATCGATCCCTCGCTCTGCCGCTAAGTCCATCAAGGCGGCATTGCTCCTCTCGAACGCCGACGTCAGCTCCTTCAGCACGCCGCTCGCTACTACAAAGTTGGTCGCGTTGTCGCTGTAAACTGTCTCCGGCAGGCCTCGTCTCCCGATGAACCTTTTGAAAACATTAAGAAAGGCGTCAGTCGATAGGTCTGTAACCAGCTCGAGGTGAACGGCCTTCGAGGCAAAACAAACAAACACGGCGACGTAATTTTTAGCGGGCGGTCTTCCTCGTATGCGGTAGCTTACATGGAAAGGACCGCAAAAATCGACCCCACAAACCCTAAACGGTCGACCTTCTCGAAGGCGATCACCTGGCAAATTTCCCATTATTTGCCCTAACAACTTGGGCTTGTATCGGAAGCAGTGTACACAATTACGTACAACTGCTGAGCAAGCACTACGAGCATTCACCACCCAGACCTGTTGCCTAAGAAGCCCAATTAATACCTTTGCACCTGCATGATAGTGCTTGAGGTGTAAATGCCGAATATACAATGCTACTATTGGTGCATCTTTAGGCAGTAATAGTGGAAATTTTGCGTCATAAGGAATTGGACCATGCAACAAACGTCCACCTACTCGAACCAAACGCAACTTAATCCCAGTGTCTTCGAACTCGTGTATAAAGGGATTAAGAGATTGCAAACTTGGGGGGAGTGGCGCCGACTTTTGTAGAGGCTTGATCTCACGGCTGTATATGCAGCACTTCAATCAGCTTAAAAAACGATAATCTTCGTTCTAAAGCTGACACAACTAAAGAATCACTGCGATTTTTCCTGTAGCAAAATCGCAAAACATATGCCAATATCCGAATTAATTTAGGAAAGGATGACAGTTTCAACATAAGGTCCAGTATGCAATTTGACTCTACGTCTGATCGAATGACTGTAAGTGCAGTCGCATTCTTTTTATCTTCAGATGCCTTAATGTCTGACGATAATTCAACATGGTGAAGATTGGGCCAATCATTTTCACCGAGCTTTAGAAAATTAGGGCCCTTAAACCACAATGACGATACAATTTCGTCTATATCAGTTCCACGAGAAACTAGGTCAGCAGGGTTGCAGTCTGTAGGCACATGACGCCAAACAGTATTCTCAGAAGCGTCTTGGATCTCAGCCACTCTATTTGCCACGAATGTGGACAACGTGGATGAGTCTCTCTCCAACCAATACAACACTATCTGAGAATCTGACCAGAAGTTTACACTTTCTATAGCAAACTTACTCAGCGTGGCGCAAACATGCTGCCAGAGTTTCGCTAGTAAGAGTGCCGCACACAACTCGAGTCGAGGAATCGTCTTTACGTTGAGTGGTGCCACTCTGGATTTGGCTGTAAGCAACGAAACACCTACGCTATCCTTGTTGCAAGTCCTAATGTATATGCAACAACCGTATGCCTGACTTGAGGCGTCTGCGAAACCATGAATTTGCACTGTCTCATAAACGTTTAAGCAAACGTATCGCGGAATATGAATTTTGTGTAGATCACGCAGAGTCTCAATGAACTTATTCCACGAAGTATGCATACTCGTTGGAATAGTTTCATCCCAATCTAGTTTTAACCGCTACAACTCTTGCAACAGAATTTTCGATTTTGTGACGATGGGGCACAACAGCCCAAGTGGGTCAAACAGACGAGACGCTACCGACAAGATGTTTCGTTTTGTTGGCTTTAACGAAATAAAGCTATCCACATCTAGATGGTACCGAAATACATCATCTTGAGGGGCCCAGCGCATTCCGTTTTGACTGAGGTGGAGTCGTCAAACTTAATTGCCTTTTCGATGATGTTGCCATCATCACCGAACAAGGCCTGACAGTTTGATGCCCACTTTGCCAAAGGGAACCCTCCGGAATCTAGTACCTCTCGTACTTGATTACAGATTTCTTTGAGCTCATCTAAAGAATTTGCTCCTGCCAACATGTCGTCAACATAAAAACAATTTTTAATGACATTTGAAGGTACAGGGTGAGATCGAGCATAAATATTTGCCAATTCAAACAACGAGCGCACAGCTAAAAATGGCGCTGATGCAGTCGCGTATGTGACAGTGTTCAACTTAAAGGACTGCAGCTCATGAGAGGCGCTTTCTCGCCGTATTTATTCAACCGAAAATTTACAAGTGTTGAATAAAGCTCCCTATGAATAGTCGGCCCAACCATTAAAGTGTCATTTAATGATAGGGCCGTTGACGTTTTACTAGAAGCGTCAAACACCACACGCAATTTGGTTGTGGTGCTTTCAGGTCTCAGGACACACTGATGAGGAATATAGTAGTGCTGTCCTGGAGGAGGGGATTCAAGAGCAGACATATGCCCAAGATCACGATACTCTCTCATGAAGTCATGGTACATGTCATGGAGAGTTTTGTCTCTTGCGAGTTTGCGCCCAAGTTGCAGAAATCGTCTTTCAGCTGTTTGAAAGGAAAGCCCTAGTACAGTGGGATCGGATTTGAACGGAAGTTCGACTTGAAAACGTCCTGTAGACAGGTGCTGTACTGATTTGGTGAAGTGAGCTTCACAGGCCTTTTGTTCAGCTGTCTGGCGCACAGCCTTCGACTCATTTGGGCTCCGATCGAGTTCCCAAAAGCGTTGAACTAATGTGTCGAGAGAACAATCACTAACTTGAGCGGCAACATTAGCACTAAGTTGTTGACGAGGTATTTGTCCTGTGTACCTACCAGCGACAACCCATCCCAGCAAGGTCTTCTGCAACAATGGAAGACCAGAATTGAGCTCGATTTGCCCAACACACAACAAGCCGTAAAAGAATTCAGCGCCTAGAAGAATGTCAACCTTGGCTGGTTTGTAAAACTCTGTAAAACTCTAAAACTCTCTACTAGAGATTTTCGGGTATTTTCCAGCTCGTTGTGGGCAAAAAGTTACAAGGTTGACAAGTGGATATGGATGTAAGAACCCAAAAATCAGTGGCAAAGTTGTGTGCATTCAAACGAGATTGAATAGCAGCACACACCTTGTGCTTACTATCAGTTGTGGTCCCACCTGCCATTGTAATACTCACTGCCGTGTCTTCACGCTTTAGTCGCAAGCGCTGCGCAAGGTTCTCAGTCATGAGATTCAGCTGTGAGCCGCCGTCAAGCAACATACGTGCAGGATGGTATTGGCCGAATCTATCTCTAATATTCACCAATGCTGTGGCAAGAATAACTTGGTCGGCACTTAAAACGAGACCTAAATATGCTTTTGGAGGTGCGACCGCTTGTAGAACGGGTGAATTTGGCACAGCTACAGAGTATCTGTGCAACAACGAGTGGTGTGGTTTTGAACACACCCGACACTTGGAAGCTTTGCAACTGGAAACTACATGACCCACATTCAAGCAATTGAGGCATATCAGTTCCACGAGAAACTAGGTCAGCAGGGTTGCAGTCTGTAGGCACATGACGCCAAACAGTATTCTCAGAAGCGTCTTGGATCTCAGCCACTCTATTTGCCACGAATGTGGACAACGTGGATGAGTCTCTCTCCAACCAATACAACACTATCTGAGAATCTGACCAGAAGTTTACACTTTCTATAGCAAACTTACTCAGCGTGGCGCAAACATGCTGCCAGAGTTTCGCTAGTAAGAGTGCCGCACACAACTCGAGTCGAGGAATCGTCTTTACGTTGAGTGGTGCCACTCTGGATTTGGCTGTAAGCAACGACTCATTTGGGCTCCGATCGAGTTCCCAAAAGCGTTGAACTAATGTGTCGAGAGAACAATCACTAACTTGAGCGGCAACATTAGCACTAAGTTGTTGACGAGGTATTTGTCCTGTGTACCTACCAGCGACAACCCATCCCAGCAAGGTCTTCTGCAACAATGGAAGACCAGAATTGAGCTCGATTTGCCCAACACACAACAAGCCGTAAAAGATTTCAGCGCCTAGAAGAATGTCAACCTTGGCTGGTTTGTAAAACTCTGTAAAACTCTAAAACTCTCTACTAGAGATTTTCGGGTATTTTCCAGCTCGTTGTGGGCAAAAAGTTACAAGGTTGACAAGTGGATATGGATGTAAGAACCCAAAAATCAGTGGCAAAGTTGTGTGCATTCAAACGAGATTGAATAGCAGCACACACCTTGTGCTTACTATCAGTTGTGGTCCCACCTGCCATTGTAATACTCACTGCCGTGTCTTCACGCTTTAGTCGCAAGCGCTGCGCAAGGTTCTCAGTCATGAGATTCAGCTGTGAGCCGCCGTCAAGCAACATACGTGCAGGATGGTATTGGCCGAATCTATCTCTAATATTCACCAATGCTGTGGCAAGAATAACTTGGTCGGCACTTAAAACGTGACCTAAATATGCTTTTGGAGGTGCGACCGCTTGTAGAACGGGTGAATTTGGCACAGCTACAGAGTATCTGTGCAACAACGAGTGGTGTGGTTTTGAACACACCCGACACTTGGAAGCTTTGCAACTGGAAACTACATGACCCACATTCAAGCAATTGAGGCACATTTTTTGAGTCTTGGCGAACTCAAATCGCTGCATAACGGGAATAGATCCGAAAGAAGGGCAAGTATAAATATTGTGTTCCGCAGAACTACAGTATGAGCACTTCGAGATCGGTTTTGAAGGCTTTGAAGGACCCTTTGTGCAAGAAAACGAAGCTTTACTGTTTCTTGCAGGTTCGGCTCGCGGTTTATTTTTAACCCGAGTTGTCTTTTCAGCCGCTAAATATTGGTAACGTCTATTTAACTGCTTAGCGCAGTCATCCCAAGAAGGCAGCTTGTCATAGTCGAGCTGTTCCTCAAAACGAGATTTGGTTACATGATCAACTTTGGCCATAACCATATGCATGATCATTGCATTCGAAATGTCCCTTTCACTTCCCAACGAAGTTAAAGACGCATAAATGGCAGAAACAGTGTCAATGATGGACCGCAAACTAGACGCATTAGGTTTGGTCATGCTTGGGATGTCAAACAATTGCGAGATAGTGTCGAAAAATATCAAACATTTGTTGTCGTACACAGACTTGAGGCTAGCAATGGATTTCGAGTAATTGCAGTCCGTTAACTGAAACGGTTTCACAACTTCTAGAGCCTCACCTGACAAGCACGACACCAAATGATTAAACTTCTCGACGTTGGTCAACGAAGGATCGTCATGAACTAGACTTTCAAATAAGCACATAAAATTCTTAAATTCGGCATGCTTTCCACTGAATGTAGGCAGCCGCATTTTGGGTAACTGTGACCGTTGACTGGCCATCATAGAACAGTCATGAGAAGTCTGACTTTCAACCTTCTGTTTCGTTGCCTTTACATACAACGCCTTAGTTGAAATGCACAAATCCTCAAGTGGCCCTCTACTATCGTTACTTGGATTGAGACTATCCAAATCTGCCTGAAGCGCCATAGCTTTCTTTATGTAACCTTCCAACAGCTCGAGACGGCACTCGAGTTCTGTTTGTTCAAACGAAATTGTCTTTAACTGAAATGCCGTTTTCATACGAGCAATATCAGCGCTAACCTTATCAAATTTCTGCAAGCATTGTACTAGTAGAACTAGATACTACTTGTTGCTTCTCAGATTCCGACATGGTAGAGTATAACCAAAATAAACTCTAAACAAGTTGCAAATCAACGAAACTGAAAACCGAACTTTCCTAACAGCCCTCGCAAATAACAACGCGCTAAAACAGCAAGAGACCAACTGAAATGCACACAGATTACACAAATAGGCGTCGATTACCGCAAGCACGCTTGTAGGCAACGCTAATCCAAACGGGTAGCGGGGGGAAGTTCGTTGGCCCAGCGACAAGTGTAGCCGAAAAAAGGCGCGCACAAAAGAGAGAGCGACAAAATTCTTTTGCTACGCTAGCGGCGCAAGCAACAACAAAGCTATGTTTGTATGTATGCAGCTGATGCAACAAATCTTTACCAAAAAACCAACACAATAGAAACAAAATAACTTTAAAATATTTGTTTTTTATGTTAAAAATCAGCTTAGTAGCCCTTTTTTAATTGTTGTGGTTTGGTTTGCCTCGAGGTTTTGTTAGTAGTTATGTTTATGAGGGTGTATAATTATGTTAATTTATGCAAGGTGTGGTGTATGTGTGTATATGTATGTATATAATATAATCATGCAGTGGTTATTGGCGAATATGTATGTATGATTATGTATTTGTGTATGTAATGTTGTTGCACAAAATAAATCAAGTGCCAAAAATTTAGTCGGCATAGGCACACACGTACTATATGTACATACGTATGCAATGTAAATAGATTTTTATCCACTTTACACTTGCACGAATTTGCAGCAATTAAACTTATTAATGCTTTATGCTCAATTGTTGGCACAGAATACCTGCAAGCTCTCAAAAGAGTCCACCGAAACTTCCCTGGATTCCGAGCGACGATCACCCATTAGCCAAGCCAAACGACAGTACCACAAGTAGGGCAGACAGCAGCTCCACAGTCCAAACGAGCAGTTGTAGTTGATGATATCCAGAAAGGCCAAGGCACCAAGCTCCAAATCCAAATAAATGTAGCAGGATGGTATCCAATCGACACCAGCCTCAAACAAACGAGTAGTTTTCACACGACCGCGCACAAAAACCAAGCCACAAAGCCCGCAAACAAACGAGAAAATAATATTAAGAAAACCGATGTCCCTGCTCGGGCGCCAATGAAAAATCGCTAGCTTTTTAGCGATTGCAACAAACAATATTTAACTATTTATTAAATGAGACGCGGTATTCTTTCGATTATTAATATGGCTTTTAATGGCTTGGAAAATTGTACAAACGATGTTAAACGTGCGAGTATTACTTAGCAAGTGATTTGCCTGCTGCCGCTACAAGTCAGCGGGCCGGCATAAGAAAAGTAATGCACAAAGACAGCGCAGTAAAGGGCGCGATAGAGAACGCAACAGAGATACTTAAAAACTATACATGGTGCTCCAACATCCGGAATAATTTTAGAAAAATTTTCCACCACCAATTTGCCTTCTTCTTTGCTGCTGTTTTCCGTTTGGCATTTCAGGGTCAATAGTTGCACTAGTTGTTGCATGGTAACGCTGTTCTCGGCTGTTGTGGTTCTATTCGTTTCTTTTTGCATTTTTTCTTGTTTTTCTCTGTTGCCCTCGGACCTTTCTGGCAACATCGCCTCAAATGATATTGTCAGTGCGTGCTCACTTGTAACGGTTTCTTTGTCCTCTTTGTTATTCATTTTCGTGAGCGTCGACCGCGTTGAAACCGACGGCTTCTTTGTCCTTGAGACTACTGGCGCCTTTCCTTTTAGAATAAACTGACTCACTCGCACTGGCTTCGGCTTTGCAACTGTGGGTACTGGCGTCGGCTTTGGTTTGTAGGCTGATCTCGTTTTTCTGGCACGCATGCAACTTTAATTGAATTTAATGTACATATGAGTATGCATGCCACTTTTCACGCACTTTTTGTCACTTATTTTACAGCCTTTTTTTTCCACAACTTTCAAAATTTTTAGGTTGAGCCCCCAAATGTGATCTTGTGTATCATAGAATGTTTATTATTGATGACGATACCAAGATATATGATATAGTTTAAAATAGGAATATAATGTAAAATGATGATGGCGAATATTAGCATATGCAGCTAATGCACTCTGGTTCGACGGCTGACTTCTCTGACGACTTCTCTCTGCTTCTTCTTCTGACTGCTGACTTCTGCTTCTTTCTTTACGGCTGACGACTGTGTTTGTAGTGCGGCTGACAACTTACTACTGACAACTAAGTACATTTCTACTGATTGCTTAAAACCAAAATGAGTACCGAGTACTGATGGCGATGCTGCTTCTAGGTGTTCCGCCATTCTCACTATCCTGCTTTCCCATCTTACATTCGGCCATCCTGTACTAGTCATCGGCCTCCGATGACCACGAGTCTTCGTTATCTGCGATATAGCGCCAAAGCCGCATATTATCGCAACTTGTTGTCGTGCTGTTCAGCCCTTCGACGTCTGCAGCCTTGCGCACTTCATATCGCCCGTTACGTTTAATTTTTGTAATTTCATATGGTCCCAGATAGCTGCTGGCTAGCTTTCTCCCAGCTACGAATTGTGTTCGGCGGATTGCGACTAGGTCACCCAATTTATAACCATATTCGTTCTTCCGCTTTTTATCGAACTGCTTTTTGTATCTTTCCTGTGCTCTCTGTATGTCCTCCTTCGCTGCTTGTCTTATTTTCTGCCTTTCTTCATCAAAGTTGTCGCATATCTCCTTTTCCAGCAGTTGCAAAACCTCATTTTCGGCCGTAGTTCTCATCTTTACGCCAAACATGAGTTCGAATGGCGACTTCTTCGTTGATACATGAATGGTGCTGTTTATGACCTTCTGTACTCTAGCCACAAACTTAAACCATTTTTCAGGACTCTCTGATGACAGCTTGGATATGATTTGTAGTATCGACCGGTTAACGCGCTCTACTTGGTCGTTTCCTCTGGGCACTCCGGTGGTGCTCCAAACATGCTCGATACCATTTTTGCTCATGTAGTCCTCGAAAGCTGAAGATGTAAACGTAGACCCTTGGTCACTGATGATACGACTGGGATTACCGAAGATTTCCGACCAGCTGTCGAGCTTGTTAAGAACTTCTTCGCAGCTTGTTGTCTTTGTCGGATACAGCCACACGAACTTAGTAAATGCGTCGACTATAGCAAAAATGTATTTATATTGCTTCGCTGTGGCGTCCATAGGTCCGAGATGGTCAACATGCAATGTGTGCAATGGCTCTCCTCCTTTCTCGTCGGGATGATGAAAGCCTTCCTTTTTACCCAACTGTTTGTTGTGGACAATACATTTAA